TGAAATCTCAATCTCCAGATATATGATGATGGCAAAAACCTTGTTGCTTGCAAATACATTTTTAGACGATTAGCGTCAGCAATCAATCCTGACGCATGGGCAAGTGGCTCATGTAAGTGGTTATAATTCGTTTTTTTAAGCATATAGTTAGACTATGTTTTAAGCATCCCATGACTGTCATTACTGCAATAAAGTTTAATGCCAGTTAAAACAGTGAACAGTCAATATTGTTTGGTTCTAATTTTTGATCGTTTACTTAAAAATGGACTAAAAAGTCATTAAAAATCTTAACGTCCTCTCATTCTTCTCCCACCTCGCGCCCTCGCATGACTCCCTTCATCCCGCTCCGTCTCCTCCCGCTTCTCGCCCACCTCCCGCCCTTATTCTCCCGGGTTCGCGCCCTCTGTCCCCCCCCCCCCAACATGTGTTAGATCAGACAGCAGAGTAGTAATACATTTTACTAAAAATTAGGGAGTTTATGATAAGAATTAATGTTTTTCCAATTCTGGCAAAGATATGTTTAACTTTGTTAATTTGGCCCAATCCCGCGATATAAGATGAAACAACGCTTGCGATATGTTCGTCGTAGCTCAAACATGAGTCAAATATCATCCCTAAATATTTTGCAACAGCAGCTGGTGTAATAATCTCACCAAGGATAGTCATGAAAATTTCCAGGTACTTGCATGTTCTAACATTTGCCTTGTACCTAATATGAGCATCTTTCATCATAGTTTTTTCTGAATTTACCAACAAACTGTTTAGACAGCACCAGGCGGCAATTCTTCGCATGTCTTCTGTGAGTTTCATAGCCGCCAACTCGGCATCCCTGATTGAAAATGCTAAATATAATTTTCAGCCATCCACATGGACTCCAAATTGGACTCATTTGGCACACCAGGCAAGTCGTTTATGTATATATATTAAATGACATCAGTAGTAATAGATGTTCGATTCAGCTCATCACCCCCAGGGCAAAGATCCCCTCCTATTTTCACCTTCCAAACCCTACCGGGGGAAAGACCCCACCAAGGATTTCCGGACCGTTGCTTGGAAATCAACACTGCCGGACCGCCACCCGATTGAGCTAATGTCGATTTTGTTCACCCGATTCCAAAACCGTCCGAACCCTTGTTTGGACCGCTGACTGGAACTTATGGGTGACCCGTTTCGTTTTGTTCCAATCTGGTCCGATCCGCTGCTTATTTTCCGGAGTAGAAATTAGCCTTAATTCACACAGCTCCGACCATGGGTGCTCCAATGTGCTTCTACACCAACACTGCCGGAAAGGTAGTACTTCATATGAAAAACGGAGCCACAGGTCTGATCCGTGCTACTTTCATGTATGTTATAAATCAGGATTACATAGGACCAGGTAAAATTATTGTTGGAGCGATGGGACTAAAGTTTAGCGATGTGGACGCATCCGGAACCGTTACAGACAGGACGAGAAATACGGAATTATTGTGTTATTTAGTAATTCTACAGTAAGAAGAATTTTAAATCTCTCTGTAAGATTTAAAGTATTCGTGTAAGTCCGTAGGCGCTTCCAACTCCCAAAACACCCATCGTAAGCATGACGTATTTTTTAATTTCGTCTACGGTTGGTAAAAATCTTGTTGGTAAAAATCTTGGTAAAAAATTTGTTTTTTTTTCCGTAATGCTGTATCATCCATGAATCTTGTAAAATTTCTTAAATCCTCTGCCGCTTTGTTCGCCTCCTCGATTTTCTGGTTTGCGTCCAGAATTTCGGCTCTGCGTTGAGCCACATCGTTGCGACGCTTTACCTCAGATTCGTAGAACTTTTCTTTCGCTTTAACGTGTTTTTTCCAGCGCTTGGTTGTGTCTCTTGATTTCCTCTTTGTACCCTTTTCCGTTTAATTTGGAAAAAAGAAATCCGGCTCTAGCAAAGGCCTAGTCAGCGCCTAGGACACAACAAGCTAAGCTTCGTCCTTACGGCACGTCCTGACGTGATCCAGCTTACTTATCAATCACTGTCTGGAATGTAATGATTGCTTTTCAGATAGCTTACCGCCGCTCCTTTCAGGGTTATCGGCGACTCCGAGACTTTCTCCAAATGCCTTCTTGGATACGAAGGACAGTCCGGTGACTTCGGCTGTCACTAACGCTGGGTTGTAAAGATCGTTGATCACTTCCTTCTTTGTGTCGGTCATTGTGTTTTATTATATGTGGAAATATTCACAAATCTAACGGGACTTCGGAAGCCGTCCGACTCAACCAAGCATCTCTTCTCGTATTTTCCGAGTGTTTAACGCAATCCCGAAAGTCCTCACAGACAATTCTGTTCTTCAATACATGGTTACGGATACCTTTTCCTTTCTTGTTCTCCTCACCGTCGTCCATCAAATGCGCATGCATTTTGAAACGTGGTGTTGCTGACTCACTTATTTGTTTTCCGCCGGCCTCGTCTTTCATCAAACCCGGAACCTTTTTGTCCCTTTTTGAATCCCTCTGCAAGCCGCTGTGATGATCATTCGGATAATTACTGAAGTCAAAAAACTCCATATGAACACCACACCTCGTAAACGTCTTCCGTTCTGACCTCTATCATTAAGCAATAATCATGCTTAAATTATATATAGTCTAGGACCTGCATGGCCAGGGGTGCGCCTGCCTTGTACATGCGCCTGCCTTGTACAGCGGCTACTTGAGGGTACTCTAATTTAAGCAAAGCGAAGCCAGACAGAAATATTGCTCAAATTATTCAAATTATATTGTTTTAAAATAGCATTCTTACACGTAGTTATATAGTTCGCATATTGACTGAGACATTTATTCAAGCTATATATAGCTCTCATTCGTGCGTAAATTACAACTAAGATATGATAAAAATCTTATGTTTCTTGGTATTTATTTATATTGCGCAAAATAGCATTGTAATATCATCTAATGCGCTTAGTATAAGTAGGGAGATCGGGATACTTTGCCGTATATTTCGTCAAATACAGCACATTCTCCCCCATGGATACATAAATTTCCCCTCCTGTCCTTCCGTATTAAAAAGTCTGCATGGTTCCTGAGCTTATTGTTGATACCAAAATGGCACAATATATTCAAAAGAAAAATGGCTCGGACGCGTTTTTTAATCAGACGTCGATATAAACCTATATTCGCGTATTCTGCGTCGTGTCTATAAGTTAATTTTCGTGGTTTTAAACGTTTATGGGAACCCATAGTAATCACCATCGCTCATAGAAAGGTTCTGGACTTCGTTTTGATATCAAATATGGCCGGCTATATGAAAAGGATAGATGCTGTTTTTACATGTTTATCGCGTCTTCGCTCACATAAAATGATCGTTTGTGGATAATTCACTTGTCAAGTTTTACTGCATTTCTCGGCAAAATTGGACGCTCTAAAATATATCAGATCACTTCGAAAATAACACCGACGGAATACGTGATGATGTGAAGTTTACGAGGGAAGTGAGGAAAATTTGACAAGAAATGAAACGGGTCGTAAAATTTTGAACGAAACTGGCCATTTTCACGGAATTTGGGCACACTACATACAGTTTATAGGAGCCAGATCTGTGCGATACAGGTAACGAAATGGACGTACTATAACTAGGAGGTAATAATATGACATGATATTTATCTTATTTGACTACAAATGTTTTGTTATTTTCAAAGATAGTAAGGCAAATTTTGTAACAGCGATTGAACTGGCTTATATATATTTACAAAAAAATGGCGCTCCCCCATACTATTCTATAGTAGCGTTTCGGCCATTTTGTTTTTTTAAATTCGCACATGCTCAGTACAAATGTCTTGAATTTCTGGCCATGTATATGATTTGTATGCATTTAATTTAGGACAGATAATCTCAACTGTTTTAGGGCAAGTTGACCATGACGGTCGACAAGGGAACGCTACCCGAACCCCAATCCGGGGGCGAAATGTATGAAACTGATCACACTCAAAACGACGCTTTCGCCATACTGCTATCTACCAAACCATAAAAGCTTTGGCTATCCTGAAGGGTGTTAATATGGTTCAGAGATGGTACTTTTAGGGCTGGTCATCAGTAAGTGTGAAATACCTAGCACTGATATTTCAGGAGAAAATGACCTTGCAATACACATAGTCAAACGTCAATTTGTGACTTACAAATACAGATAAACAGCAGTGGACCTACATTACCTTTTTTCCTAAATCTTTTTTATAGAAACATAATTGGTACTTATTTATTTATATTGTCACTGCTTTGCTGCAAAATAGTTGATACTTTGTGACCAAAATAATAATTCGAAATTTACCTACCTCGATCCTGCAAATAGAGTATTTGGCCAAATTTTCCACTTTACTCCGCTGTTTATCGCCGATGTAGTTGAAATCCTTCCAAATATGTACCTCATCTCAGACATAATTGGATTCAAGTGCATCCTAGCTGTTTAACGATCGACAAGGTAATACCACAACTTTGTCCAAATGCTTGTCGATTAGTTGTAAGAAGCTATGTGCCACGTTGGTTTTTACGTTCTTACTGAAGGGCGGATTAAACAGGGACGCCGGAACTGGGGGGGAGCAGGGGGGGAGGCGGCTGCCCCCCTTGCCTTTTGCTAGGGGGGGGGGGCAGGGGGGCAGAAGTGCCCTTTTAGTTGTAAAATACAACGTGATAAATCACATTTCCAACGATGCTTTTTGTAGGAAAATCATGAGATTCAGGCAATTTATAGTTTATATTTGACCTTTGGTATGTCCGGCAAAAATTTTTGATCCCTAAAATGGTACATTGTTGTTGCACCAAAACCCAATGGCAAAATTAGATTATGCCTCGATCCCAGACCACTCAATAAAGCGCTGAAACGATGCCACCATCCAATACCGACAATTGACGACGTACTTCTAGAACTGTCCAATGCAAAAGTCTTTACAAAAGTCGACTGTAGCAACGGATATTGGCAAGTAGAATTAGACGAAGAATCGTTTCTTTTAACGACGTTCAACACTCCATTTGGGCGATTTAAATGGCAACGGATGCCTTTTGGGATCTCCCCTGCAGGAGAGATTTTCCAGCAACGGCTAGACCAAGAAATTAATGACTTGGATGGTGTACGGACTGTTGCTGATGACATTTTAGTAATAGGAAATGGAGAGACGATGCAGGAAGCTGTAGCCGACCATGACAGAAAGCTCAAGGAACTATTCGACTGCTGCAGAGCTAAACATATCAAGCTTAACCCAAACAAGATTGAGTTGAAGAAGACCTCAATGCCATACACTGGCAACATTCTTACCTCTGACGGTGTCCAAGCGGATCTTGCTAAAGTACAAGCCATACTAGAAATGAAGCAACCAACAGACGTGGCTGGCGTCAGGAGAATCCTCGGAACAGTTAATTATCTCGCCAAGTTCCTTCCCCAGGCCACCTCTTACAAGCATCTGAACCACTACGACAACTCACAAAAAAGAATCAGCCTTTCGATTGGGACAAATCGCATGACGCCGCTTTCACCAAAATAAAGAAATTGATCACAGAACCGGCAGTCCTCAAGTACTACGAGTCGACCAAACCCCTGATAATACAGTGTGACGCTAGCGAGCACGGCCAATGGCCGCACTCATTCAAGAGGGAAAGCCTGTCGCATTTGCAAGCCGAGCATTGACGCACGCAGAGAAACAATACGCTCAGATAGAAAAGGAACTGTTAGCTATAGTTTACGGAACCGAGCGTTTTCACCAGTATACATATGGCCGACCAATTACGGTAGAATGAGACCACAAGCCGATCGAAGTCATTCATCAGAAACCTCTGTCAGCAGCACCTAGACGTCTTCAAAAGATGATGATGAATTTACACCAATATGACTTAACCATCGTTTATAGGAAAGGGTCAGAGATGCTGCTAGCTGAAACACTCAGTCGTCACCATTTAGACAACTCCACCGACGAAGCACGCAACGTCGACAGCGATCTCGACCAAGTGGACAGTTTGGAAGAAATCAACGAAATACTAAATTGTGAAACAACAACCATATTCCAAGATTACACAACGAAAGATCAAGACCTACAGCAAGCCAAATCATTCATCCAGTCAGGATGGCCCGAAAGCTCCAAAGATCTATCTCCAACAATCACCCCGTACTTCCATTTACGAGACGAATTTTGACAACACAAGAGGGCCTCGTCTTTAGGGGAGACCGCGTCGTTATCCCAAAATCACTACGAAAGCAAGTACTGAATGAATTGCATGCAGCACACCAAGGGATCGCATCTACAAGTCGGCGAGCCAGAGAAACCGTCTACTGGCCACACCTGAACCAAGAATTGAAAGACCACATCTCACATTGCATCACCTGTGACATATTCAGTTCCAAGCAGCCGAAAAAACCTCTCATCCCGCATGAAATGCCAAAGAGAGCATGGGCAAAAATCGGTTGTGATATCTTTGAATTTGAAAATAAATCGTATTTAGTGACAGTGGACTACTATTCGAACTTCTTCGAAGTTGACTGCCTTGAAAAATTGACATCACTGGCAGTTATAAAGAAACTAAAGCCCCATTTCGCCAGGTTCGGTATTCCAAACACTCTTGTGACAGACAACGGCCCACAATTCATCAGTGATAACTTTCGAGACTTCTCTATGAAGTACCAATTTGAGCATATAACGACCAGTCCTTATCACCACCAATCCAACGGCAAAGCCGAATCTGCCGTCAAGCAAGCCAAACGAATAATTCGAACATGCAACTCATCAAACGATGACATTTACCTTGCCATTCTTGCCCACCGAAACACCCCCCAAACAACAACCATGAAACAAGCCCCGCACAACGATTGTTTAACCGCCGTACAAAGACTCCCTTGCCCGTCTCGGAGAAGTTGCTCCAACCGAAGATAAATGCGCAAGCAAACAAACGCATCCAACAAAGACAACAGCTCCGAAAGAAATACCACGATCGTGGCGCAAAAGAGCTCAGTCCGTTGCGGAAAGGAGAAGTGGTGAGACTACAGCCAGCCCGAATCGGCGAAAAGAAATGGAAGAGAGGGATCGTTGTACGCGAAGCCGGGATAAAATCATATGAAGTCCAATGCAACGGGTATACCTATACTAGAAACAGATTCATCCGACGATCAAGGTTACCTGCAGAATTCGATAGTGACAACGCAGATGAAGAGATGTCAGACATGTCCGAAGCGGAAGAGAATGTTTCTGTACCTATCGACAATGATCTGCCTCAAGAAAACCCTCAACCAGCACACATAGAACGCAATGAAACAAATACCGAAACAAGTTCTACAAGCAAAACCCGTAGTGGACGGTTAGTTAAAAAACCTGACAGGCTAGGTATAGACACATAAGTGAACGCGGTATATAGGTATACTTATAAAGAAAAAAAAAACTTTCAGAGAAGAGGAGATGTTGGACATTAACCGTTGACATTAATATTTGAGTTATATTTGCTCGGACAGGGGAAACTGGGAACGGAAGAAAAAGGGCGCGAAATATAGTGGAGGACACGGGATTTTTAGAGGCAGAGTATATACATGTTATGAGTTTATATTATACGAATTATACTAAAAGAAATAAAACTATCAAAAGTTAATGAAAGTGAGAAGCAAATAACACGGTGAAGTGCGTCTTCGTAGGCCTACAATGGTACTGATGATTCAAAAGATGATTGATCAGAGGATAAGCTAGATATTTTTTTGTTAATGGATTTTGGGATATGCTTGATGATAGAAGGGGGGTGATTTGACCGGCTGTCTATATAGAGAGACTCGTTATTGGGTTTTCTGTAAGCTGAATATCTCCCTGTTTGCAGATTGAAGGTTACGTCCAAGTAACCTTCAATATAGACCCTCTCTATACAGACCCTCTCTATACAAAAACACTGAAGAAAGCTGTTCTGAGTTGATTATATGAGATGTGCATTGCTATTAAAAGTTGTGAAAAAGGTGAAATAAGTGAAGAAATAGTACCTAAACACAGATATCTTCAACTGTTCAACGTTGTAACCAAGAATTTCGAAAATACCTTTCAAATTGGCGATTCTGCAAGCCAGAAATGCAGTTTTTAAATGCAGTTTTTAAGCTTTGTGCGAGCCAAGTAAGTTGTCATGATTTGTTTTCGTTGAAAAACTGCACTAGCTATACTTCTTGGAATACATTTGGGAGGTTGGGCTTTTGTTTATAGCATTTTCGCTGCTGTTTTACTCAACACATTTGAGAAATAAATACCTCAAATTACGCGCAAGTTTGCTGTCTTAGTTTTGAAGCATTATATTAGCATTATTTTATTACTGTTTTTTAAAATGCTCATAACATTATATTTAAGTCAGGAGTGTTTCTCCGTTGTTTGTTTTTTACTCAAAAAGTCGGATTTTTGCTTCGTCCGAACCTGGAAAAATCTAAGACGAAGGCAATACGGCTTTTTACCGTGTAATCCGCTTTAAGGATTTTCGTGTTCTCATGACCTTATTTGTTAAAATCACGTCATAATCAAATAAGAACATCAGTTATAGACCTTTCACTCAGGGTATTCCCAAAACATTAACCTGATGATGTGAATACCCCTCGTTCCAGGTCTATAACTGATAATTATTTTCTAGTTGAGTCGGTTTTCTTTGATGTTCAGCGGGATGAATACAGATTATAACCCGTGAATAAATAATTAGACTAAACTTGTATAGACAAAACTCGAAAATCGTTATGGATAGTCTTTGAAATTGATGAAATATTGTTCAAAAACCTCCTCAACTAGAAAATAAGTTGGTTATAAATTTCGAACTTGGGATATAAGTCATATATTTGCCTTCGGGTCAATATATGAATTATATCTCGCCTCCTCGGTTTATAACTCTTACATAATGAGAACATAAAGATATTTTATATGTTTACCTAGGGGAAAACAGTGTTTGAATGGCACTAAATATTGTCAGTGGCGTAACTACTAAGGGCTCAGACCGGGCGAACCGGGGGCCCCCAAGTCTAAGGGGGCTGTTGTCATATCTATCACTCTTCAGGCAGGGCCTTTTTCAACACACAAGCTG